TTATGGCTTCCTTTACTTTGCAGCTAAACAAATGCTGATATCAGTTTAGATAGTTCCTTTCCTTTCAGTTGTTTGTGTTAAGTAACATCAAGTCGCCTCCAGTTTATGGAGGCCCTATGAATTAATGTCCTATCATTAACAGCCTTGCTCCAAGCATATATAGTAATGGTGAATACTATGGCATGAATTAACTTGATCTTGGTCACTAGTGACACATCGCTACACTTAAGAATCTTTTCTAGCTCCTTCATGACTGCCCTTCCCAGTCTCAATCTTGTTTTTGGTTGATAATGGAGCTAAGGAATAGAAAATCTTGAACAATTTCAGTTTCTTCATTGTCAGCTACCACAGATTTAAGTATCTTTCAAGCATCCTGAAGAGATTTTACCTCCTTTCAGCTTCCTTTTAACTAATCCTCCCATTTTTATATAAGTTCCCCCTTCTAAAATCGCATGTGGCCATGTTGAACTTTGGGGGACAATTTTTCACACATGAATGTTAAATTTTAAAGCTCTGTGATCACTTTTCTCAACTCATTCAACAATGCTTACATCACATATCACATCCTGAGTACCAGTCACCACGAAAGTCCAGGGCTGCCTCCATGACTATTTCATAGTCATTTATGGTATCCAGAAAACTGCCTATTTGTCAATGTGAGGGTAACTGGAGTCACCCATTATTGCTTTGGTCACCTCCCTTATTTCCTTTCCCATCTCAAGCTCATCCTCTGAGTTCTGATTGGTAGGGCAATAGTACATCCCCAGTTACAAACACTGCTATCCTTATTTCATTTATTTATTTATTAAAACATTCACATTCTGCCTTTCTGCACAATTAGGGCTCTCAAAGCCTTGAAAGACATTAAAACTAACCTTTAAAACAGTACATATGTAAAAACAAGAAGTGTAACAAATCACAAGCAGGGTCAGGCAGGGAACACAGGACAAAACAGTGCAGAAGAGGATGATAGAGGGGGACATTCTAATCTCCCTGAAGAGGGAATTCCACAGTTTTGATGCCAAGATGGCCTTTTGTTGAGTTGTTGCCACCATCTAGCCTCAAATGACAGGGTCGACCAAAGCAGGACCTCTGAAGATGACTGTAGTATTTGGGTAGGTTTGTACGGAAGGAGGTGGAAGGAGAACTATGCAGATCTCAAGCCATATAGGGTGTAGTGGTTAAGTGTGCGGACTCTAATCTGGGAGAAACGGGTTTGATTCCCCACGCCTCCACTTGCAGCTGCTGGATAAACTTGGGCTAGCCATAGTTCTGTCAGAGCTGTTCTCTCAGTAGCAGTTTCTGTCAGAGCTCTCTCAGCCCCACCTACCTTACAGGGTGTCTGCTGTGGGGAGGGGGAGGGAAAGGAGTTTGTAAACTGCTCTGAGTGAAGGTCGGGGTATAAATCCAATCTCTTCTCTGCTCTTTTCTCTTCTAAAAGTCAATACGAACACCTTGAAGTAGACCTGGGAGCAAATGTTAGCTAGCTTTTTTATCCTACCCACCTCCAAGCTGCTCCGTGTGATGGACACGGATCTCCCCTGTTCCCTTTTATCCTCCCAGTAATCCTGTCAGACAAGTTTAATTGAGAAAGGATGACTGTTCCAAGGTCCCCAGTGAACTGGGAAGCCAAACAGGGATTTGACCCCATGTACTCTATATAGTACATCTAAGGGAAAACCTCCTGCCTTAAATGCCTGAGAGCTTGTCGCCGCTCAGTACAGCGCAGCAGCAGGGAAAAATGGGGTGGGGAGGCATCTTGTAACTTCTGGCACAAACCAGGAAGTGGCATCAAGACACTGGCACAACACTCTATTGAGTTTGGGGAAATTCTACAACATTGCACCAATGCAGTGATGTCTATGTCCCCCCATTTACCTGTTCCTCCCATAAACCTCCCACTGGTCACCAGCACTCAGCTGGCAACCCTAATTCCACCACATCATCTCTCTACCTGTAGAGGTTCAATGCGGGAGTTTAATCCTCTTGCATTTTGTAGCTTATTTGAATCTGCAGCCTCTGTGACATAGAGAGCAATACCATCCCCAACAGGTCCTTCTAAAAAGTTAATAGTTGCCCTGACCTGGATAGCCCACAGGCAAGCCCGATCTCATCAGATCTCGTAAGCTAAGCAGGGCCAACCCTGGCAAGGACTTGGAAGAGAGACCTCCACGGAATACCAGGGCTTGGACACAGAGGTAGGCGATAGTAAGCCACCTCTTCGACACATCCAAGCTCCACTAGGAGTTGCTAGAAGTTAGCCATGACTTCCAGGCACACACACACACAATACTCACCAAAAATAAAAAGTTAATATTCGAAGATAACTGCTTTTCCTCATCAGCAGATTTCTGAACTACCTACTATTCACTGAGCACCAACAATTTCAGCTCCCCCACCTCAGGGTCTTCAACTATTTTCATATAAATACTGGTACTTTCCCTCCTTTTCCAATCATCTTTAGCACACACTTTTTTGCCCTAGGACCCTTTGGCCTCCACAAAGAGCTGTTCTCGTCTGCCATTACCTCATTTTCAGGTTCAAGCTACCCCCATTTAGACAACCCAGAATATTTACCTTAGTATCACATAGGGATCCAGATGCTCCCTAAATCCTGCCAGCTTTACCCAAGAGTTAGTTTCAAAGCTGCTCCACAGCCTTTTTATTATTGTGTCTACAATGTGGTTCCATTTCCCTTTTGCAAAGCCGGGATTCAGTTCATGCTGTGGTATAATGTAATTTATCCTGCACTCTTGGGAAATGACAGGTTGTAAATCTAAATAAACAATCACCAGTTTAAAAGGAATTCAAACACTATCAATACGGCATAGCTCAGTCTTCAAACCTCACTCATCTAAGCCAGGACAAGAGTTGTTGCACAGAAGTCTTCATTCAGAAAGATTGATCTCCCATTCAGTAACACAGCAAAAGTTGATGGGGTGAAAAAAACCCCAACCGCGTGCATGTTTATTCAGTAAATATTAACTCAACATCTCTATCCATGCAAACACCCTGTTAACCAGTTCTTGGGGTGGCAGGGAGGGAGAGGGCAGGACACAGGGAGAAATCCCCCCCCCCCAATGTGGCAAACAATGTCTAGTAATATTTATTTGTTCGAAGATACACCCAACATCAGAACAGTAGCAGTAAAGACAAATACTGTTCTAAATTCAAGCTGTTGTCCATACTTACACTTCATATCATTTCACTACAAATGGTGTAGTGCGTTAACATGTCAGTACAGTGCTCCAAAGCTAATTCCTATGATTTATGTTTTTTTAATTTAAAAAAAAATCAATTATTCAACACTCATCACTGCTATTTCTGTTTCTTCGTTTAGAAGGCTAACAAGAGATATTTGGGGACAAATTATTCTTTAGCTGTAGTAAATGTTTTGGGATTGTGTAAACTGCAAATGGGCTGCCTGCACTCTAATTTACGAACATTTATGACATCGCCATCAAGATTACTTCAACTTCTGATTATTATGTGTTATGATAGCATTTGCTGTTGTTATGTACCCTTCAGCTTCTCAGCTTTTAGCCATTTTTGGCAAGGATATCTATTAATAATGTAGAGTTCTAAACTGAAGCTTTAGAAATTCACACTATATGATCCTGAAAAGCATTTTGGAAAGTGGGGTGGTGTTGATCTAGAAATGGTGATGAAAAAAATAAGCCAACATTTTATCCCACATCCCAGCTGGGCAAGTAACCAGTACCTTCAGTCCATTCCAAAGGACAATTTCTCCAGATGACTTTCACAAATAGCAAGATGATCACACCTCACACTACTGTTTTGCTTGTCCAAATGGTCCCAGAGCAATACGCTTGACACTGAAAAGAGTAAGAGTCCAGCAGCACCTGACTGAATCCTGACTAACCTTCCTCCCTAGAAAAATGACCTGGGATCAAATAATAAAGAGAGGGGGCAGGGGAAACCCCATACACAGAAACCTTTATGGCTGGGAAAAAACAGGGGAGGCTTAGAAAAGGCATGTTTCAATTTGCAGAACAAAATCTGTTCACCTCTTACAAACGACATGGCAGTACAGGGACACACAAATCCAAACTCAACCCCCAAACAAACAAAAAAACTTGGGTAGATTTCTCCAAGGAAGGCCATCCCTAAGAGACATATATTGCATTGCTACTTGTCTGCACCTTCCCGCAATAAAGTAGCTGGACTGCACAGAGTTGTTGGTAAGCAAACATTCACTTGAACGCGTGAGAAGCCAAGATGTTAAATAAAGAGGTGGCGAAGAGGCAGTTTGCACCTCGCTGCACACACACTGCCTCTGTGTGTCCGTCTCTGAGAGGGAGGCTGCTACAAACCCGTCGATCCATAAAGCCTTTACTTTTTTAAAAAATATCAAAATGGCGGAATTCTCACTCTTTTTATTCTGTTGCACAAAACAGATATTCCCTTTATGGGAAGACATAAAATTAGGCGAAGGAGAAAGTTTGCGAAAACGACCCCTTTCTCTCCCTTCTGCCTCCCTCTCGTGCCAGATCATCGAACACATCTTGCTACCCTCTTTCTCCATCGCTCCATTCCAACTCTTTTATGTCATGTGTTTATAGGGAAGGGGGGGGGATTTCAAATTAATCTCCCCCACGTTTAAACATGGAAACTGCAAGAGGAATATTTTAAAAAGCCCCCTTAGGATTTTTACTCTGTCCACACAATATCCCAGTCACCAAGTATTTGGGGTTCCCCCCTCCCGTCTCTCTCGCTCTGATTTTTTTTTATTGCATTGTTCATTGTAAACCCCAATACAACTGAAAGGTATTCGTGTCCCCCTCGGATTTAAATAAAATAAAATAGAATAACCAAAATGCTGGCACATCTACTTGCAGAAGCAGGCAGTCACAATTTCAAATCAATGCATTGCATGCAAACCGGAGCAAAGGTCTGCAGAGCACGGAGCAAACCCTTTTCGAGGTGCATTTTGATGATTTAAAGAGGTTTATAAATTACTTTCTTATCTGATTCCTTACCTACAATAATCAGCCTGTGGTCACTGAATGCTGAGCCTGCGGGAACCTAAAGCTGGCCGCGCCTGCGCGCACAGGGGGCGGGGCTGTCTTCCCTGCAGAAATGCACAGGGCTATGAAATTGACAAGCAAAGCATATTTAATATACAGAGAGAGGACAGGGGAGGGAGAAGGAACTTGGTATTATCCACGCTGCATTCCCCATTTTTGTATAAATATATTATTAAACCAACTATTAACCCGTCTTTTTCTTCTTCTTGGCAGGCTTTTTGTGCCGAGCGGTGGCTTCGCTTCCGTGTCCATCCATATTTTCTCTTTTCTTACAAACCGTTACAGATATCAAATATATAATAAGACACCGATTTTTCGGATTGCGTCTACATGTTTTTTTGAAAACAATGTGCGCTATGCCAGTCCATCCGAATTTGATGTAATACTATCATACGTTTATTTCCTAGTTGGTGGGAAAATTTAATTAAAACAAAAGAACAAAAACTGGATTTGCAGATTCTGGTTTTCACGAGTTCCACTCTTCCTAGAGAGAACATGGCTAGCTACTCTCGTTGCACCAATATAGTCCAGGCGTTTTGTAGGTGTAAACCTTCCCCGGTCTAGGAACCATGAAATTTACCGCATCCTATCCTCCCGCCAACACCCCCCTCCCAAAAAGAAGAAGACTCCTGCACGGATTGCATTGTAGGGGCCACATTCTGGAAACCAGTGTGGAGTGAGGAGGTGTTGTGTGAAAGGCTGAAACCACTAGACCAGTTTCGAAGAGGTTAGTGTAAATATGGTCAGAATCCGAAATGTGAAGGGGGGGAGCGGGCTTTCCCCCCACGCTCTCTTGAGTGAGGATCGTTTCGCGCAAGACTCGAAACAAACAGGAAATCCGCAAGCATTTTTAGCTCATGGGTGGCCGCTGGCTGTGTATAAACCATCTGAAACACATGCCCAAACTCCCTCCTCCCCACGATCGCCGCCTAAATATGGAGCCCCGTGCCTGACACACACAATCGACCGTTTCCCTCACAAAACGTTCCCTGGCACGGAAGTCTTCGCCTCAACCTTGGTGCCCTGTAAAATACACATATTTTCTTCAGAGAGAGAGAACTGTGAGGGGCAGGATGCAGAGAGGGGGGAAACAATTGAAACAGCAACATTTGTGGAAAGCCTAATCCCAGGAAGGCAAACGGGAATCGTGCATACCTGTCCTTAATCTAGAATACCTACACAAACACGAGTTTGTCCTCTCACTACACTAATGTATTCTCAACACAAATCCTCAACACAAGCATGCATGAAAAAGGGGTTAAAGCAGAGGTCATCTGGGGGGGGAATGCGGGGGAACGCAGTTCCCCAGGGTGAGGTGCAGGGGGTGGGGCACATGACGAAGCCCCGCCCCCTGCTTCCGGCAGCCCAGCATCCAGCCCTCATTCAGCCAGGGGGAGGCAGGAGAAGAGGGAGGGTAAGTTGCTTCCTCCCCACCTCTCCCCACCCCTGCCTGCCTGGGGCCAGGGAGGGCCTTGGCCCGCTGGCCTTGCAGGTCCACCGCCGGGCCCCTGATGTCAGGGGGTGTGGCATGTGCTAATGAGTTATGCTAATGAGTTCCCCTAGCTCTTTTTCTACGAAATGACCCCTGGGTTAAAGGCCTCCATTCCCCCACTCTTTAGAAATCTGGCTGTCCTTAAATGATGGAGACTGTATACCTTGGGCTGTTTTTTAATTTACATTATTTATAGTCCACCTTTCGCACTGAAACTCAAGGAGGATTACATTGTGTAAATCAATTCAGTCAATAGGATTGGAATCCAATATGCAACATAACAGGATTAGGACTGCAGAAATCAAAATCAAGTAAAACCCCATAAAACATGAAACAAAGCATAAGTATTAACATAGTATATTAAATAATGCTGAAATTACATAATAGGATAACACACACAATAACAGATAGTGCGTGCTATACCCAGTAGTCTAGTCCACAGTCCCTTTCCCTGTATTAAACCATTCTTCCTCAACCATTGCATTTTACTAAAGCTTTGTAAAAAAGCCCTCTTGAACAATTCATTTTTCATGCAACAGATGGGAGAAACTGTGTGAGTCAAAAATACAATAGATTCCTAGATAAAAGCACAGGTCCTCCGCAGGTTAATGGAGTCCTACATCATTTCTGTGTTTAGCTTCAACAGTAAGCAAGCACAAACCAGTTGAGGCAAAAGGTGGACTCCTTCACCAGACTGTTATAAACAAAGGGGTAAAGGGAAAATCAAACGCAACTGCAGCCAGGATTCACATTCGCTCTTCACCTCTTTCTTTCCATCAGCAACAATCCCATCAGTGAGTCTTCAAAGGAATTGAAAGTCACAAGGAATTTGTGGATGAAGACTATTCAGTAGAATCTGGTCAGACACTACCATTAAGCAAGGTGAGAAGTAGGGATGCCAGCCTCCAGATGGGACCTGGAGATCCCCTGGAATTACAGCTCACATCCAGACTATAGAGATCAGTTCCCCTGGAGAAAATGGATAGTTTGGAGGGTGGACTCTATGGCATTGGACCCACTGAAGTTCGAGTCCTTCCCAGGCTCCACCCCCAAATCTCCAGGAGTTTCCCAGCCTGGAGCTGGCAGCCCTACCCCCCACCAGTGGCCAGGGAGGACCTGGCAACCCTAGTGAGAAGACCTACAGATTTTTGGATGACACTAAAAGGCAACAGGAGGGCCTGGCGTGATGTGGTCCATGGGGTCGTGAAGAGTCAGACTCAACTGTGCGACTGAACAACAACAACAACAACAAAAAGGCAACATATCATTTAATATTTATTTGTTGTTATATTTTTACCTATTTATCTACTTGCAGTTTCTT